CCAGCCCACCCAAGCTTATGAAAGCCAAGACTAGTGAGGAGGGGGCTGGGGACTGTTGCTTCTACTCCCACCCCCACCCCTAGCCCCTTTTAGAGCTAGTGTGTGTGAGAGAAGATATTAAAGAGGTATCTGTTGTTTGGCAATTTTGCTAAGTCTGTCTTCATTACTTTGCCGCTGTGCATTTGCTAATTTGGAGGCCCGGCCATTGACAAGCTTGCTCCATACACCTGCAAGCAATTTGCCGGCTCCGGTACCGGAGAATTGCAGAGATGGCAGCTCGCACCTATTTGATTTTTTTTTTCCTTTTCTCAATGCACAGCAAATTTGGCTTTCAGTGCGTTATCTCTTTTGTTAATGCAAAAAGATTCCCTGGGCGAAAAAATTGCTCATAATTACCAGAGAGATGGGGAAACTGCATTAGAATAAATAAACCTGAAATTACTGTAATTATGTTGTGTTTGATGGGCCCGGCTTGTAATCAAGAAGAGAATACAGTGAAATGATGCTGACCCTCTTGGGTTTGCAGCTGTACGCGCACTTTGGGGTCTTTTTTTGCAGAAAAGAGTCATTTTGATAATCATTAAGCTGTGTGTAACCTATTTCAGAAGTGTTTTAAAATGAGGTTCACATTTTTTGAACAAGGGAAAAAAATCCCAAAATTGCATTTTGCCATTACAGACTCATACATAAGGAAAGGTTGTGTTTTCTAAGTGACAATTGTTAAGACATAATATTCGAAATCAGTATTTAATCATTATAATGAGGTATTGTTTAAATATAACCACCTTTAGATTATTCATAGTTTAATTAATATACTCATTATGAAAATCTTTGAATCAGATATTTGATGAACTACTTGTCAGTAACAAGGCAGCATTAATTAGGCCTATATTGAGATTAACATTTTTTAAAAGTACAACCGCTTATAATTATAATAGAACCTAACTAAAGACCGCCTTCCTTGAGCTAAAACTAATAATTTCTCTATTTGAACTGTTAGCAAGAGATTATTAAATTAGTATAAGCTAATATCTCAAAGTATTAAAATTGGCTTGACCAAATAGATTTTGCCTGTGGCTTGAGCCCTTGAGTCCTAGCTGTTGTCTGGGGAACCCGAGTTAGAGGAGTAAGAGACATCTTCCCTTAGCAAAGTCACATATCCCGAGGGGAACTGAATCCAGAAAGGCCTCTGCCCAGCTCTTGGTCCCAGCCTGAGAAATGGTTGCCTCTCTGTTTTGAGGCCGGTGAGTCGGCCCCAACCTGGTCTCCGAGGTCTGATCTCTTCCATTTGCACTCTTGATTCTGAGGGCTGCCAGGAGAGGAAAAGTCCCAATTTCCAACTCAGAACCAACGTAGAGGTCCCGGCTTCATCCTGCACTACCTCCCCTGCTTCATCCATTACGCTGCCCCCTCCCAAGCCCCGCCACGTCCCCTCCCCTCCCCAAAGGGCGTCGGAAGAACCCGACGCATCTGATCTTTCACCATCACCAATTGAAAAATGGGTGCTTGTCACAACACAGATCACTGCTTTCCCAGCTCTGCTCCCCACCGCGCGCTGGAAAGGGCCCCCCAAAGGCGGGGGGCCAGCCCCTGCCGCAGCAGCGTCGCAAGGCGGATGCGAGGGAAGCGGGAATCGCTCCTGGCTGCCTGTTGGGACCCGCAACTTTCCGAAGCTGCCTCTGCTGAGTCTGGGGTCAGTGGTGAAGACTGGGGCTGGTCAGGAGGACGGGCCACCAAGCGGAGAAGGGAGTCAGTCTGGTTTTAGTCTGTGGGAACCCGCGTTCTCCTGGAATGAACTGAATCCCAGCTCTCTACGGAAGGTTTCTCTATAATGACCTGGCTTCCGGACTTCAGGGCTACAGAGGGGTCGAAATGCTTCACTTTGGTCATGTCTGGGTTCCGAGGAGTCAGTTGAGCCCACCTACCCCTCTCTTGGCACTTCCACTTCTTGGATGGGCAGAGAAAAACCCATGATCATTAGGTAAAAAGTGCCTTTCTGCTTTGAAGGGGCGCGGGTGCTTCCCTGGGACTGTGCCTTGTTTCCTGGAGCTCATTGATGGGGGTGGTCTGACAAACTATCCTTCAAGACCTGTCTAGCGGTCCCCCCCCCCTCATAGGATACACCCCCGGTAAGCAAAGCAGAAAGCCAGATGGAGCAGAGTATAAGAGCAAAGCATGATGTCCCTTGCTTTCAGGCTTCCCAGAGGTGGCTGGGCATGGAGGAAACTCCAGTCTCTCAGCCTTTGAACTCTGCTTTCCTCTCCCAGCCACATCTCACCTTTCTTTTGGTTTCTGAGCGAGGGGCTGCCCTGCCACACCTGTTCCCCAGCCCCCTTCCCAGACCTTTCCTTGGCACTCCATCCCCATCCCACCCACTCAGGTAGAGACCAGATACCTTGAAGGCTGAGCCAGCAAGTCAGGTTACATAGGCCTATTGGAGCACCCCACAGGCCCTGGGATGATATTGATTTGTCTGGAGTTGTGTGCCCCTAATCCATCCCAGAAAAGTTAACTGTCCCCTATTATCTGTATCCGGGGATGGGAGCTTGGGCCCATCCCCTCATCCCACACCCAGCACAGGAGACAGCAGTTCTTTCTTGAAACCATAATTTTACTGTCTCAAAGAAACTTTATAACTTATTTACAAAGTTCTTTTTTCCCCCCAAGATACAAAGCAATAAGTTAACATTCTCAATATAAAACTAAACTTTGACATAGAGAACACAAAACACAGTTGATTTCAATTGGTCACATTTTCCAAATTTCACAAGTAGAATGTCAAGATTCTCATTTCACAAAGCATCAGGTTTTACAGTCACACACAACAGAAAAAAAAGCTAAGATTGTGCAACATGTTTACAGAACAATAATAATAA